CTTAAAGTTTCTGTCTTCTTTCCTTTTTTTTTTTTTTTTTATATAAACTAAAATTGATATATGCTTTTTTATAAGTACCTGTTTTTTTTTTTTGGGCTGCGATAGATATTTTAGAGGGGTAGTTTTTGGTTTACAATGGGGCTTTAATGGGATTTGTGGTTAGGTTGGGCATAGTGTTTAAGGTTTGGGCATAAGAAGGAGCGGTGTTTGGGGTTTCTGGATATTCAAGAACAAGGTGTTTAGTATCCAAAAGTATGTATGAGAGGAGAGACCTGAACACGGGGAAGAAGCTGGGGCTTTATAGCAGATTGAGTTGAGTGTCTGGGATGTAGATAGTGACGGTAGGCTGTAGGTTGACTGGTCAGGGGCTAGTGAGGGGACTAGACAAGGGGTGGCTGCAAGGTAGGCCATAGATTCGGACAAAATTTAATGTTTATACCTTGTAAATGAACTGTCTCAATAGGAACGTATTCTAAACCTAATCCGGGTTCATTAATAATGAACATAGGATGCGTTGGATAAGGTACAGAATCCCTTGAAATTGTCATCTTGGTGTAAATCCTGGAAAATGTCATCCAATTCCAATAGGTCTTTTTTTTTTCCTCCTTTACATATATTCCTAGAAGTTATTCATAAGCAACAAGGTAGTTCATTAATCAAGGTCATCATGGATGTATACAAAGCATCGTTTTCCAAATCTTTTTAGGCACTCTTTTAACACCTATTGGTCATCTTCATTTTTATTACCTTTGACGGGTAGTGCTCCAACTCATCATCATCAAAACTGGTTTGGTTAGATCTGGGATCTAATCTACTGACTGTGCCCACCCAAACTTCATCGGTGCAATAAAAGATTACCAAACCCATATATATCGATAGTTTAGCATTGGACCTTTCTAAAGCTTTATTGCAATTGTATTAGGCGCAGGAAGCATGTTGGCTCATCAGTTTTGACCTTTACGTCTACAATTTTTTTAGTTGAATATTGAAGAAAATATGGGCCCCTTTTTTTCCTCTTTTTCTCTGCTCAGCTATAGGTAACGGGACAAGTCAGAATCAGAAACCACAAAATTCATATTAATTGTGTCATCATGTATGAAGAAGAGCGTGGAAATTTAATAAGATATGAATCTGACGTCTTCGGATTATATCATCTGTAAAATTTTCAAGATGGCTAAATATTAATTTTCATCACTTCGACTTAATCTTGGCTCAACTCCTCGTTCTTTTTGCTTCTAGCTGTTCTCATTTAAGGCAAAGGGACAGGGTGTGGGGGGTGGTCAAGGACAAGTGGGGAACTCCATTGTCGGTAGAAAACCCTTCATTTCTGTCAATGGTAAACCTTATCCAACGCATCCTATGTTCATTACTAATGTCGAAGATAATTGAGGATCGAACTCCTCTGCCACCAAAGATATTTTTTCCCCATGCTTCTCCAGTCCCTTCGCTTCCCATCCTATATTTTAATTCAAGTCATTCCTATAATATTCTTCTCAAGCAACTTTTTTTCTTTCCTTTCCTTTCTCTTCAAGTTAAATTGGCTTTTCACAAATGGCTAGGTTTCTTTAGTTTTTCTTATAAAGGTCATGAGTTTTTGTTTACGGTCAATTAATTATATATTGGCTGTCTAATTATTGACATATATTCGTTCCCATGAAGAAGAAAATGGCTTGAAACATTTTTGAACCATTCAACATTTAGCACATTAGCAAGTTTTACGATCCATGGAAAGCTAGACACTAATTTCTGGGGTTCTTAAGCTGGTGACCGACTGTAATTCTAGTAATTCACCAATGATTTAATGTATAAAATCTTTTTTCTTTCCTATATATATGTATATATAATTTCCTCTTTTTAGATCACATAGATCGCAAATTTAACTATTTACTCGGGGAAAAATCTGCAGAATTCTATGACAAAGAGCATTAGTATAGAAAACAAAGCTAGGTAGCTAGCTAGGTGAAATAATTCTATTTACAAGTAATTACTACGGAGTTCAGTACTGACTGTTAACACAGCCGCTAGACAAAATCAATGAAGTGATGTTGAACAGATTTCATGAATAACAGGTGTCAAGCTCATTTCATATATAAAGGACAATATATTTCCTATATATGATGTGGATCTTTGAATTATACTATCAACTAATTAATTAGCATGTCGTTTCCTGGAACTAGCCATCCTAATTATTTTCAATCAATCACCTTTTTAGTGCTAGCTAGCCACTTCCTTTGATTTTTATTATTTTCTTGTTAATATCTATATTTAAGTTTGATTTCCTATCAAAAGAATAGCTGAAGTGTAAAATCAACTTTGGTTTTCTATTAATTATATATGTGATTGTAAAATTCTTTGAGTTTTCAATGAAAATTCCTCTGTATGACACCATGATTGACTGGTATACTCCCGTTATTTACTTGTTGTCTTTCATCAAATCTCTTACAAAATAAAGTTAATAATTAACAATTAAATTGTAAACGAAAAATGCAAAGAAACAGAAGGTATTGTCAAACTTATCAAATGATCGGCATGAATTTTTGTCAGGAATTATTGCTGGAGTTTCAATGAGAGCCAATTTCCAGTCCATGGAATCGAAAGACAAGGTGATGACGAATAGTCCTGTATTTTCAGGCCATGTTATTGTTATTCACTTTCAAAGATTCCTAGATGCGAAGTATTTGACATTTATTCATTTATTTTATGAATATATAGTATATGGTCATATCTTTGAAAGCCAGAAAATTAAAATGTTGTTTTGTCATCTTTTGTCTTTCTCCATTGCACCATGCATAAAAATATCCATCTGACCCACCACTTTTTGCTAATGCTTTTGTGGGCATAATCCACATTTTGTGCTAACAATTTCTCTTCATATACAGTGCAATTTGTTCGTTTTAACACCATAGATGATTTATTTGCTCGCTTTGCAAATGACAAAAATTCTGCGCCAACTTTTGTATATTATCTTGTTTATGTATCCCTAATATTAAACTTTTTTCAAGCTTCTAGTAATTTCAAACTTAAAGTTGAGCTCAACTAAATTAAATTAAATTATTCATGTTCAAAGCCTTTCCAACAATGGAGGCACGTGGGGGGTTGCTGATTGATCCTTTCCTTTTAAAGATCTCCACCATCTTTGAATTGATGAGAGAGATCATGGGGACTAAATAAAAAAAGAAGCAGAGAAAATATCTGCTTTATCAAGAGTGACTAGCGACTATAAAAGTGAGGGGGAAGAGGAGATTGAAAAAGGGACTGTTCACCCATTAGCTGACACAACATCTCCATTATGTGCCAGGCAACTCACATCAACAATCGAGACTCTTCTGATCTTGCTATTTTTAACTTCAGAGATCAAATAGAATTCCTTCAAAATTTAAAACCAATGCTTTGCCCATGATTCTTTCTATATATAGTTTCATTGAAAGTCATACTCTTCTCGAGAGATGGTAGCACATGTTTTATACCTCATAGTCTATGTTTGTTCAAAACTATGGCTCTATACGTTAAGTATCGTGACTTTGGAGCCTGGGTTTGGTTTACAGATGAGGGTCACAGCCTAAACATATGCTTTTGATCTTATATAATATATGGTATATCGTTTAAAAATAGTTTATACATTCTCTTACGCCTTAAACTATTTTATATATAATAATAATAATAATAATAATAATAATAATAGACTTTGAATTAGAGATCCTGGCCATACCTTAAGGATAAATGTGGTTGTCGATTTCATGAGACAAGTTGATGTGATATTCGCAGGTTAACGTGTTACGTAAACATCCTCTCAAATACATAAAATTTATTTTACCACTTACGAGCGTAAAGTTATGACAGGAAAGGAAAAGCAAAAGATGCCTTGCCAATTGGAAGGAAAATGCAAGAACTATCGCTCATTAATAAGGAAATTAATCAGGGCCCAGGTTCCATCACTTCGTTTTGCTGTTTTCACAATTGATCAGTGGCAAATCCATGATGAAACTCGATCCAATGTTACCTGCAGATCAATTAATCAATGTTTTAATATCAAACGATTCATAAGATCCTGATAGGTTAATTTTGTTTAGTTTTTTTTCTTTTGTTTATCAATTGTGGTCCTGTTTTACTTGGGAAATGCTGAAGCAACATCCTACCAAATGAGGGATTCAACTAACCAAGAAAGGCATTAATATTCCATTGAAATGGGGATTGAATTTAGAATGAAATTCCGTCTCATTTCATCCCCTAAACTTTGCACTAATTTCAAACATTGTGACAGGTTCTGATTCGGCATCTGGCGTGATTTCTTCAAGTAGCCAATCCAGTGCCGGTGTTGCAATAAAATGCCCACGACTTCATTAGATGACGACCATGATGATGCAAACCATTTAATTTAAAAAGAAAAAGAAAAAAGGAATATAGCAATTGCCTAATTGAAAACTAAAAAGATGGTATAGAATAGTACGTCAGGTCCACAATATAATATTGACAAAATCATAAAATTATTAACATATAGTAACTTAAAGATACAACTCATAATGTATGATTTCATTGGTCATAAGATAATTAATAGTTAGTACTATTTTATTTTTTATATTTAATTTTATCAAAATTTAAAATTTAATTATTAAAATTAAAATTTTATTATTTTATCAATAGATTACATGATTTTGATTGACTAAAATATTGTTTTTACTTTACAAACTTAAAAAGGAAAAGTGCTAAAAGAGTGAAGATTACTATTTTTTTTTTTGCTAAATAATAAAAAATTTATATTTGACATACTATATTATCAGTGAATTAAATGATAATATTTTATTAATGAGTAAATATTAATTTTTAAAATAAATATCATAAATTAAAATTTTAAAAAATTTATTTATTAACAAGATATTATCATTTAATCTATTTCATTAATTAATGATCATCATCTAATCATCCAATTTATTAATAATTTATAAAATTTATATATTAATAATGTATGAGATATAAACTTAATAATAAAATAGGGTGAAGATTATTACTTGTTTGAATGAAAGCACTTATAATATTTATTTATACTATCCAAAAGTTTTCACTGTAACCCAAGATTATAATATCAAAATGCAAAATAAAAAATCACCATAGAAAGTGAGGAAACCTACCCATATTTTCCATGTCTCTTTCTATCCGTACAGCATGAAATGTGAACCCCCACTATCTCACAGTAATCTTACTAGTTACTCTGATAGATACGCTTATAACCCTCTCTTTTCAACTTGTCAGGGGTTACAGACTTGTATAGTCTGCACAGTCCTCTCTTTCAGGGAACCGAAAGTGATCGGATTGGATCAAGAGACCAACAAACAAATGAAGATTCAGTGCGACGTGTGTAACCAAGAGGAGGCCTCCATGTTCTGCACAGCAGACGAGGCCGCCCTGTGCGACGCATGTGACCACAGCGTCCACCACGCCAACAAGCTTGCTTCTAAACACCAACGTTTTTTGCTTCTCCATCCGTCCTCTTCTAAACAAGTCCCTGTTTGCGATATCTGTCAGGTATTTTTTTTTCCCTTTCTTGCTCTTTGGGTTTTGATTGTTTGATTTTGGGTTTTTTTTTTTTTTTTTCTTTTTGTTGTAGGAGAAACGAGCTTTCTTGTTTTGTCAACAAGACAGAGCAATTCTATGCAGAGATTGTGATGTTCCAATTCACGCGGCAAACGAACATACCCAGAAGCATAACAGATTTCTTCTTACAGGGGTTAAACTCTCTGCAGCCTCTGCTCTATACACATCCGCTTCTTCATCCTCCATGGCTTCCTTATCCAAGTGTGGTGATTCTGTTCCTGAATTCAAGTCTCAACCATTGGTCAAGAACCCTGTCTCTGCTTCTCCAGCAAATTTCAATCCATCTTCACTTGCTGCTAAATCTTCATCTATTGGTACAACAACAGCAGCAGCAGCAGTAGTTAACAAGAGCAGTGGAGATAACCTGTTAGCAAGTGAAGGGGGTGGTTCAACGAGCAGCATATCTGAGTACTTGATAGAGATGCTTCCAGGCTGGCAGGTTGAAGATTTCCTTGATTCCTCTTCACCTCCCTTTGGTTTCTGTAAGGTTTGCATTGATCCATGATTGATCTATTCTTTTCCTTTTTTTACAATTTGATTTTTGAATGATGTGATTTTCTTTGGGATCTGAATAATTTTGTTTTTTGGTGTAATTTTATCAGAGTGATGATGGTATGTTGCCGTTTTTTTATGCTGGTCTTGAGAGCAATATCAGTTCTTTCTCACCAGAAAGTTTAGGTCTTTGGGTTCCGCAGTCACCATCTCCTCTGTATCCTCCCCAATATTCTTCAGAAATGGGAGGGCAAATTGGGTTCAAGGAAACAAAGGAAGTTCCAGGCATGAAAGCTAACAGGAGATGGACAGAGGATGCCCTTACAGTTCCACAGATCAGCCCTTCATCCACTGGCTCCAAGAGATCTAGGCCTCTCTGGTAGGATCACATCTTCTAAGCACAAAGGCTTCATATTCTCTTATAGACAAGGGGCTCAAGTTCCCATCTTTGCCTTTTCCTTTGTATTTTCCCATTTCTGTTTGATGTTTCTTTTTCAGTAATCTAATGGGGCAGGTTTTGTTGGTAGTATTTTCTTCTCCTCTTTTGTGTACTTGCACAATGCAACCACTTTGTAAAACTGAAAGAAAAATTTTCAAAGTTACTTTTCTTTCCTTTTACTAATTTTCCCATCTTCAATTTGGATCTTGAGGTAAAGACTACAATCAGTCAGAAGATATAGAAAATTCAGAACATATTAAACTGGAATCTGGCAAATTACATGTCGTTTTCTGAAAACAACTCTGTATCAACTTTTGGTCGGGTAGATGTATCATGTTATTGAGATTGGAAACTGACAGACATTTTAAGAAGGTACAAGAAGAAGAAGATGGAGGATAGTTATGATGAATTGATGATGAGATCGGATATTGAAAGGAGGAAGGGAGGGGTCAGCAAAAAGGGATGGTCTGGTTTTGTCTTAAAGCAAATTGCTGTGCCCTGCACTCCCGATGGGGACGAGCATATACCCCAAAGGCCCAAACCTATATAATATATCCTAAAAATAGCTATCAATTCTCTCTAGTTCATTCAACAAATTGAAATTTTCCCAACCAAATTTGGGAAAAAAAAAGAATTCAGGACTAGTTGCTAGTCAGGGTTTCTTGCAGACTTGCAGTTGTACTTCTCTGTACTTATGCAAATTTACATGACCCTGGTAAAAAAACCATTTAGTCAGATATTGTTTATGATAGATAAATTTTAATATAAAAAAAATGAGAGTCGTTAAATTGCAGAAAAGTTACATAGAAAGGCATACACAAACGTGAATGTCACGTTTCTTCGTCTAAGTGAACGTTATCTGCTTTGATTTTTGTAGTTCAGCGTAAATATTTCACTTTTAAGATCACAAAGAAGAAAAACCACAGCAAATCTTTTCACGATTTACATCAATTATGTAGTCTCTTCATTTTATCATTATAAACGTGCTTGCAAATGACAACTTGGCGGTCAATCTGAGTACTGGTCGGGGCCGAAAGGTTCATCTTTGTGTTGACCACGTAAGTCTAAACCGACTTAAGCTAACTCCAAGCAGGGCCCTGTCTTACGCCCTTGCCCCCCATTTTTTCCCTTTTTGGTGGGTTCAAATGAGCAATAGTGCCCTTTGTTTTTGCATGAAATGTCACATCATTTGCCAATCTTTCTTTTAAGAGGCGTTCGTAAAATTATAGATTTCGAAAAAAAAGTTTGATTCTTAAAAAAAAATATGATTTTTGAGATTTTTTTTTATTTTTAAAATATTTCATATTCAAATTCATTCGTTTAATTGAAAAAAATTAACATATATTAAATCTTAAATAATTATTATAATTTTCTTAACATATATAATGGTAACTTAAATAATTTCATTCAATTAATTGAATGAGATAATTCAAGAGGTTATCTAATTAAAAATGTTTTGAATAATATTTTATAAAACTTAAAGAAGATTATTTAGAGTGTTTCTGGCTCAAAACGCTTTAAATAATACTATTCAATTTTTTTGAGATTATTTTAGGTTTTTTTGTCAAAAAATATCTTAAATAATCCCCTAATAAATATTGAAAGAGATTACTCAAGATATTTTTATTCAAAAAATACCTTAAATAATCTCTTATAAAAAATTAAATAGATTTTTCAAGGTATTTTTAGCAAAAATACATTAAATAATCCATTTTCAATTTTTACGAATAGATTATTAAATACATTTTTTTATCAAAAAATATCTTGAATAATATCTTACAAAAAATTAAATAGGGTTATTCGAGACGTTTCTGATAAAAAAACATCTTGAATAATCTTTTTTAATTTTTATGAGAGGATTATTCAAAGTATTTTTAGCATTCAAGGTGTTTTTGGTCAAAACCATCTTGAATAATCTTTCTAAAAATTGAAAGAGATTATTCAAGGTATTTTTTTATCAGAAAATGCTTTGAATAATTTCTTATAAAAAATTGAATGAAGTTATTTAAGACGTGTCTGGTAAAAAATGTCTTGAATAATCTTCTTCAATTTTTTTGAAGAGATTATTCAATGCATTTTTAATCCGTTTTAATTTTTATGAGAGGATTATTTAAGACATTTTTGTTTAAAAAATACCTTAAATAATTCCTTACAAAAAAATTGAATGAGATTTTTCAAAATGATCATCATTTAAGGTATTTTTTCAACTCAAAATTTATTTGAATGGTGATTTATTGAAGGTATTTTTTATACCAAACGTCATATATAAACCAAATTTTTTACCAACAGAAACCTATAACTGACTTGCATTTATTTTTAAACATATTTTTAAAATGATAATGACTATTTCATAATTTTTTACTCAAATCAAATTTAGAAATAACGCTATTTTTTCCTGCAAAATCTTAGAATATTCTAGAGATATATGAGTTTTTGATTTAGGACTTTGGATACCGTTAATAATCTGTTAATTTTATTCAAAATTAAATTATCTTGAATCAAATATTGAAATCAAATACCTAATATAAAATGTAAGTTTTAGTACGAAAGGACTATATAGTCCAGTGAGCAAGTGGGTCTAGTCCTTTGGTTGGACTATGGCCCTAACAGCTTTTACTTTGGGTTAACCAGGTCTATGGAGGCCTAACTAAAATGATATATAAGGATGCCGAATTATGGCATCAAGTTTCATTCAATTTACTGCTAATTGGATCATGTCATTACTTTTTTTGAGAACCAATATTGAAATCTAAGATATATATATATATATATATATATATACATATATATATTAACACAAGCCACTAAAAAAATATATAAAGAAGGCTTAGGGTTTGGCATTTTCTGAATGGAAATTTTTGCAGCTACACAGCACAACTGATCAGATCAATGTTTGAGCACTCGGCTTTAATTACATGAACATGGATGCAATATTTGTCCAAAATGGTTTTCCATTGAAAACCCCAAACAAATAGTCAAAAGAGAACTAAAGACAGAAACACATTTTGTAAAATCCTCCTAGCCCATCAAATTTCAAACACAAACATCTATTTGTTTAAACTCTTCAATCGGTTTTCTTCTTAACATTTTGTAGATTCAGAGAGATTAGGAACCAGTCAAGATGGGGGGAAAAATGAGAAAGGTTTAGACTAATGTGATGAAGGTTAAGGAATATTCATGGGCGTCTGCAGTGGGCTTTGCACATATGTTGGCAGTCATAGACGCAAGGTCCACCACAGTGAAGGGGGCAATCCAACCTCATGCCTCTGCACCTTCCTTTAACCATGCATTGAGCAAACTCACCTAGCTTATAATCCTCCTTGTTGAAAACCCTCTTCCTATGCGCTTGATTACTGTTAGTGCCTCTACCTCCTCCTCTCCCCTTGCCTTTCCCAGGTTTTGTTGCTCCACATCCCCATTTATACCAACCACCACCTCCTCCTCCCCATCCCCATCCCCCACCTCCACCTCCCCCTCCTCCACCCCCACCCCATCCCCATCCAAAACTGCCACCCCCACCTCCACCTCCACCTCCACCGCCGCCTCCTCCACCATCACCTCCACCTCTATAATAAGATCCTCTATTTTTGTTGTTGTTGAGCACAACTTCAGTGGACGTTCTGTTGCTTAATGTAACATAGTCTTTTCCTGGGGGAAGCTTGAGATGAACTGAGGAAGAATTGGTATTGTCTTGAGTTTGAGTAGTAGTGCCATTTACCAAGACGTCACCTCGAAGCCTAACAACTGCCACTGCTACAAAAAAGAGAACCCGAAAACCTTTTACTAATGTCTCCATCCTTTGATTTCTACAAAAGATGCAACTGTTGCATAAACTTACGTGCCTGATCTATATATTCCACTCGGGTTTATATGAATATTTTCTACAGCTATACATTTGGCCCCACTTGACCTAGATCTTTAAGGAAACCCAAAACAACCATTTGCTACTTGTTTTCTTCCTAAAAGTGAGAAAAATTGAGATGCCTTGGGACACACTTTATCCCCATTTTCAATTGAGGGCCTCGCCCACTTGCACATGTGCCTCTTCAAGGTCGTCTGAGACTCTGAGGAATAAGGTAATTGGAGATAATGTCAGTGTATCCTAATAAAAGAGAAGTGTCACATGCCATGGACTCAATTTTATGAACATTTGAGCCATATCATATTTGAGCCCTCATTATTCATCAGTCTTGTTCGGTTCTTTAGGAAGATTGAAGAAACCCTGAAAGTATGTTTCCAAAAGAAGGGAGTACTCCGAGTAGTGGCTGATTGTTAATTGTTTGCATAGTGGCACCAATCCATTAAACAGGGGTGATCATTGACTATCAAAAAGTTTTTCAGCTTTTGTTTCCCCAAATGCAATGATACAAGCACAAATCTAATGAGAAATGGAAAACCTAAAGACCAAGAAGAATGGATATACTTAAGAATGTTTGAAAGGCTGATGAGCAAAGTGAAACTTTGGTGCCAAAAGAAGTCTACCAAATAGCATCCACTAGCCTGTTAATGTTTTTGATCAGGAATTGCATGCATTAGCTAGAATATTTCGCTTCAAATTACACCTTAACTAGAGCAAGTTTTGAGAGGATATGTTGGAAAGGGATAATTCTGAGGCAGAGGGTATATCCTTACCATTTGCCAAACGATTTTGATGCGAGCTTTACCTTGACGTTTGAGATTGAAGAAGTGTGAAGAGCAAAGAGCAGTCGAGTATATCATTTTGTGGGGATACCATAATTTTGCTTGTATTTGTATATTATAAAGTACAGAACAAATTGATTTCAGAGCACTGGTACCGTCATCATGTCTCCAACTACAAATGAGAAATAAAAAAATCAAAACTGATCTGGCATTCACTTTCTCTTTCAGATTCAGGCTCAAGTTTTCTACCGGCTTCACCATCTAGTGCTTGTCTGCTAACTCCTAACATGGACATTGCTTGATTCTCAGACAAAAGTGAAACGACGAGACACACATGATTGAGCAAATGAGCTAGTTGGGAGAGCACTCAAAGTGCCAGGATTTTGGCTAGACGAGACACACGAGTGACCACCATGTCATTACGATTGTTGTTTTTTAATTTGATTACAAAAGAGTAGGTAACCTTATTAATGACTAAATTAAGGATTTTATTTTATATTTTTTCATTTTAATTTTTACACACCCTAATAACACAGTTATCACTCGTAAAAAGTACATAAATTGAAATATTAACAAAATATTCTATTAAAGTAAATAGAAAATATTCTTCAATTTTACTATTTTTTTTATCAATACAATATAATAAAATTTAACTTTGATTCATAAATAGTATAGTGCCAAATTTGAAAATAATTGTTGTGTTTTTTCCTTTTCCCACTTGTGTAGAACAAAACAGAAAAGAAAATACCATATTGTGGAACGTGTTATATTGCCTAAAGAACTACAATTATGGAGGAGTAAGATGCAGAAATATTATTGTTCAATATTGAAATGGACCTGAATGCTTAGGTCCCCTTCGAGCCCGAAAATGGGCAATCAACCTTCAACCCCGGAAGGATTTTGATACGGCCTGACTTTTGCATGGGGAAAGGGAGAAGCATACGCTCTACCTGATATAGGTGCAGGGTTCCAGACACCATTATCCTCCCGGAAATTAGCTTTCTGATCATGGTCCCGCTGCAGCTGCTGGTAGCTAATTTCACTCTCCTCACTTTCGGCTGCTGCTTGTTCTCAATGGAAGGAAGAGAAGATATGCTGGTGAAGATAATGGCGATAATAGCGACGGTGGATGATCTGTTGCTGACATGGGCATATCAATGTCCCGGTAACCATCATTATCACACCAAAAATATGCATGATTGACCTCTCAATTAATCTTGACATGCTTATTTTGTGCCTTGAGTGCAGCCTTTAGAACCTACGTGATCTATATAACTTGAAGCCTTTAAAAATTGCAGGTCATTGTCATGTCTGTCAGTTGACAAATGGTACTATAATTTATGAGAACGGGAGTTTTTTAATATCGGCCTGACTGGAACCATAGCAGTGCTTGAATTAAACTGATCTTCCTTCTGATCATGGCCAATAGGTCATGGTTTTTGCATGTACTAAACGGAAGCTAAATTTTTTAGATTAATGTGGTGTGACGAAATGAAGAGTCTTGGTTTAATCTTATTTTACTATGTTTTGCCACAAAGATGAAAAAGTGAATATGACATGCTGTATGTTCAATTGATAGAGCAATTAAAAGAAGGTAGAGTTAACTTTTATCTAATCAATACGTATGAAATTAAAAAGGAGCTTCGCAAACTGTATTTTGTACTAAAATCAAACAAAGATTGAAATGTGCGGAATGGGCAAAAGTTTTTTCTTTCCCCAAACACTGGGAACGTAATAAAAAAAATCTGAAATTTTGTGAAATGGGCCAGCTTAAGTTTTTATTATGTTTTGGGCCTATTACAACCGAATTGATTGGGCTTCGCTAAGGCTCTAGCCTCGAGGTTTTGAAAGCTAAAAAGATATCATTCCGTTGCCGGGACTTGAACCCGGGTCTCTCGGGTGAGAGCCGAGTATCCTAACCAACTAGACTACAACGGATCCCGCTGCAAACGTCCATTAAGTTATATTTGAGTGATATATATGAGTGGCATGGACCACAACTCATGGAAACATGTTTTCCATTCCAAAAATAAAATATTGACGGCTATGGATAGCATTCTTGACGTGTGCAATGTGATCAAGCTGTGTTATATTAAATCATCAATTTGCTTTGTCGCAAGTAGTGGAAATGCTGATGAAAAAAGCTGGAAGCAAGCCTATAGTTTTTGGAATTATGTGTTTGGACGCAGAGAAAAAACCTGAAACATGCGAGTGATTACTTAGACCTTGTTTTGATTCAATCATGGAAACTGGAGTGTTCCCCACATTAATGGAAGACCGTCTAAAATTGTCTGATCTCTGATGCAAGATTCATTGTGACATTTGTAGTCCATGTACTTCAAAACATATTATTGTTCTTACTATAATACTACTACTATAATTGAATATCATAGAAATAGGCAATGACTAGAAACGGTTAGTGTTTTGTCTTATAGTTATACCATCCTGTTATTTCAAGTAAAAAAAAAAGTGTCATTGATAATGAATATTCCAATAAAAAAATGGTGAGATATCTTTGCAGGCCATGGAGAAATCACAGCAGAATATTTTGTGAATATATTTAAGAAATTAAATAGTTGTAAACATTATTTTTTTTTAATTGTCAAAACTCAATTAAGCCTGTTTTCCTTCAAGTCTCAAATAATAATGATGGTACCTACCGCTGCTGTCACATGTTCCAAACTTTCCCAACCTGGAGAGTCCCCACTATCCTCATTATGAACAAGACCAATAGAAAAGGAAAGGAAAGGAAATCTCGAGTTGAGATTTATTTGATTTGAAAGAATTTTGAAGGATAAAAAATGCCTGCACTTACCAACAGATTATGGCCCAGAATCTTACATATGCTAATGCCAAATAGGGAATAAAAAGGTATTCAAGATTTGTAGAGATTCCCTGGTTTAGACATATCAGAATATTGCATTGAACATTTAACAACGATCACAACTGCAGCAACAGAATAAAAGGCTAATCTTTTTTTTAATAAAGCAATGAATATCAGATTATGGAAGCTCACAGTTAAAAAGGCAGGCCTGAATGATGATTTGGTAAGTCAATCTCCTCTTTATGACCATTAACTATATTAAGCATACACAGGTTCAGGATGTTTCCCACCAGTTGGGATTGACTATATCATATAGGTGAAATACCATAATCTAAAAACAAAACGAGATCAACTCTTCTACCGAGAATATTTATTGCAGGCTGCGCTTTCAACGACTCCAGGAAAAGTATCATCTCTCCCCTTAAAGATAAAGCATTGTTCAGACAAAAAAAAAAAAAAAAGGTATTGTCTTCAATTGCTGGGCCTGCAATCACCTACCAAGAAAATGATGTACGAGTACTCCTATGTAGAAGGGAATTTAACACTACTGAAAACACTCTTTTAAGTCATCATATTAAGTAACATCTGTGAACAAATTCAATATACACCATCTCAAGTTTTTTTTTTTCCCAAAAACGAACGAGTAAAAATAATCTCTACAACCAATTGTTAGGGATATTATCAGAGCCATCACTTGAAAAACGGTTTATTACAAAAAGGCATGATGCCCACTGAACACAATTGATGAACTATATATTGCACAATGCACACTGGATGACTAAAATAACACAATGGAATGGTACAAGATTAGCAAAAAGACTTTAAACCAGTTAGCTAAGGAGCCTTGTGGGACTGCAAAGTAAAGCACATGCACTTATCTTTCATCGCTTCAGCCTCACTTCCATACTCTTTGAATTTATATTCATTCTGTTTAAAGCTAGGAGGAACCTTTCCCTCACTGTAGCATTGATTACAAAGACTAAAATGAGACTTCACTTCCTTAAAGCGGGAACCAATAACTGGGTAACGACAAACTGAACAAACATGGCGTCCATGTCGATTCCTATCTCCAGTTTCTAACTTCAACAGAGTGGACATGATACCAAAGCCCCAATCATGATCATCGAACATGATAAGAAATTCATTGAAAGATACCTTTGAGGATTCTGTTTCTCCATGAACTTCCAGCATTTCACTAACTCCATGAGAAGGAACATAAATTGCCCTCAACAATTTGATATACTGAACAGCATCTACTTTTCTAATCCGAGAATCACCTTCATTTACTGGCCGCCATAAGAGTGCATCAAAGGCAATCCTTTTTCGCTTATCTGGAGGTCCACTACAAATGGGGGCAAGAACAGCATAAAACATGCCCAAGTCCACCCTGCCTGATCCTGTTTCATCCAAGACAGAGAGGATTTTCTCATTTATAGCTTTGACAGCTCCTTGGAAGGTTTCAGGTTTTAGAAAATTAAGTAATCTGCATAGAATTTCTTCCAAATTGGGCTTGCGTATGGATTTCTGAGGACCGCCACCACCAGAGTAGGAGAGTGGTACATCAGTTTCACTCATTTCCTTCTTCAAGAGATCCACTTTGCAACGGCTCAATCTAGTAATTCTCTGGAAAGCCCTAATTTGAAGAGCATTTCCTAAATCTTGCCTCAATGTAGTCTTCTCACCCGCCGTGTTGAATTTTGATGGCTCCACTATTACAAAAGCCCCTTCCCCATTGGCACCACCGTTAGTCTTCACCTTCTTCTTCTTCTGTAGCTGCTTCAGATGGTAAATGGCATCATGTAATTCAACCCTATTTGTCATTTTCAAAGCCTCCTTCAAAGCTTTCTTAGCTTCTTCAGTTTCTCCAGCCCCCAACAAGGACACAGCCTTATTGAGCTGTGCCCGCCAATGGTTTGGCCACACAGCTAAAACCCTAGTGTACATCTCAGAAGCTCTCTGAAACCTACCCAAGTCCATGTAAAGCCCGCCTAGATTGTATAAAGCATCAACGTGACCCGGTTTCAAATCAATAGCTTTCTGGAAAACCTCAATTGCCCTCTCATCCTCACCGATAGCGTGCAAAGCTGATGCTAAATCACAATGTGCATCAGCATAATCTGGTTTCATAAATATAGCCTCTTCTAAAGCCTTAACAGCTGCCCTATGTTCCCCTACCCCGAAAAGAGCACTACCTAAAAGCTTCAAAGCTCTAAAATGAGTAGGACAAAGAATGGCAGCTTCTCTATAATACTCACAAGCACTTAAAACCATACCTTCTCCTTCAAGAGCAATCCCAAGATTGACGTAAATTTGAGGAAGCAAGTAACCCCATTGATTACCACCTGCCTCAGCTGATTCCAAAGCTAACAAAAACTCTTCTTTAGCTTCTTTATACTTCCCTAACACATACAAACAATTCCCAGCTCTAAAATGTGGTCTCACATCCATTGGCTGCAATTCACAAGACCTTTTGAAACTAATCAAAGCTTCTTTAAACAACTGATGCTCATATAAAACTCTCCCAATTGCCATGTGTCCATCAAATGCTTCTTCTCTCGACCTTGCCCCATCAGCTCTATTCCTTAAAGCTCCCAATTCTTTAACAAAAACAGCATAATCAGGCCCTGATTCTTCCCAGTATATCCTTTTCTCTGAAAGCTCTGCAGACGGTCCCAATTCCCTTGACCACCCAGCATCCGAGTACACATCAAAATTATCATTTTTAAATTTCACATCTTTTGCTTGCTTTGCTTTCAATCTCTTCACCAAAATCTCCAAATCATCGACGAGCTTCCACGTGTCATCGAAAACTATCCCATGATGCGGCGACACAGCATACGTTGCCGTCCGTTGCTTCTTATGTGACTCCGTTAATCTCTCATCCACAATCGACGACGAAGATGCTTCGGAAACAATCGACGCGCCTTTGTTCTGGTCGAAATTGAGCTCGAGACCCAGCGCGTCGAAGTCACGGTCCACATCACCGGCTCCATCGTCGTAAGTTCTCAACAAACCGTCATAAGTTAACCCCTTTTCACTGTCAATGAACTCCCCATAGGTTCGAAACACTTCGTCGAGAATGGCGTTGATTTGTTCGTTACTAAACTTGACCCTGGGGTTAACAGCGACGACTAACGCTGCCATTTCATCCCTGTTAAGACACCCATCTCGGTTCGTGTCAAATTGCTGGAAAATCCTCTTCACCTTCTCTGATCTAGTCCCCCTTGTCGCCATTTCATCTACTCTTTTTTTCTTTTCTTCTAGGGTTTCGAAATTGAAAATTGAAACGCCAAGGTTATAATAAATTGGGAAATGAGGGGCCAAGAAAAAGAGAAAAGATGGGTTTTTCTTTTCTTTCCAAAAGGAATGAAACCATAAATTAGAAAAAGTTCAAAGAGGGAATAATACTTAAAACAATAATTAATAAGGTTAGGGATTGTTCAAATTTGTTGGGTTTAATTTTGGGTTTTGGGGATGCTCTCTTGGTTTCATTGGATCTGGTGGAGTAACGGCAGAAGAGAGATAAAACAGGAAAGAAGAGGAAAGAGATAATGAGTTCTGATGATGAGGGAGTGGGGGCTAATACCCCACAAAAAGCAGACTTTTTTTTATTGTTTGAGGAATTGTTTTAATGAGTTTTAATGTTTGATTTTGGTTGTTTGCAAGATAAGAGAGGAAGAGAGAGAGTTTGGATGGTCGGTTGGCAGTTGGCTAATGGTTAATGGACTTATTTTGAGGCGAAAAGTGGATTAACTGCCAGCTGTCTGCGTTTAACTTTTTGTACTAATTGTTAAAAAAAACAAAAAAAACAAAAAAACAGTAAGATAGAAACGAGGATTAAACCTCCAATCCCATAACCTTGGCCCATAGTGGACGTACTTGGTTAAAGCCCGTATGAGAATTAATCCGTACGGAAATTGCCCAAACTTAAATGACATAATGAATTCTGTTCCTAAATATAAATTGTTGGGTTTCAGTAAACTTTTCTATGTCTCACATGAATTGAAAACAAAATCTTAATTGAGCTAACCGATTATTTTAACAATTGCTTCTTGTTATTGTTTGAAAATACTTATGTACTCTCAATTAATGCTTCGTTCTTTCATAAAGCGTTGCTAGATGGATAAGAATTTAGATAGGTGTTTTAAGTTCAAATAATAAGACTCATTTTTTAAAAGAAAATATTTTTATGAATATTTTATTAATTTTTAGAATCCTTAATTAGTTTGTCATATTTAAAAAGAGTATAGAATTTTATTGAATTAATCTATCCACTGCCTTAGAGTTAGTAAAATGAAGTTTGTAAGTATTTTTTTTAAAAAAAAGTACATTCGACTTGTCAAGAAAAAAAAATGTCAAAGGAATACATGAGTTAAATTATAAAATATGATTTGGCGTTTAGGTTAATATTTATGCGAGGTAGGCTATGCAAATAAAAATAATGGATATGATAAATAATTAAGATAGTCTTAATCTTATCTCTCGATTTTTATCTTACAATTTTTATATTTGAAAATAAATTACATGGTTCAAATCAAATATAATATATACCTTTCTTTTTGACCTATAGTCGATTAAGTTGACATATTTAAAATTTATCTAGATATTATTTATTTGTGAGTTTCATGAACTTAATATTGTCTTAACCTTTTTATTTCATAAAGTATTTGGGTCCAATACCTATTATTATTATTCTAAGAGGGGCAATCAAATTGATTTTTTCCTGAGGAAAAGTGTGAATTTCTTATAACAAAGAAGGTAAACTATGATGAAAAATAGTCCCTAAGTATATTCTTTAACTTTAATATTAACATCTAAGTTCAATCCCACTAATTATACCTTTCAAAGAGCAAAATCAACCCCAAAACACAAAAAGGAAAAAAGAATTAAAGAATTAAGGCGTTAAAAAAAAAAAAAAAAAAACTGAAATTGTGGACACGTGTAGGCAGTGGGAGAGGACGGCTACAGCGTTAATAATTAGAAGAATAAAGGTGAAAATAGTAATTCTACATATGATTTTGTTAGAGTAGCGGTTATATTTGAAAGGTCGGTACTGTTCCAAGTCACAAAGAGAAACGAAGGGAGGCAAAAGCCAAGAACAACGCCATTGCATTGCATTGCATTGCATTGCATTGCATTGCTTTGCTGTTCGCTGCCATTTCTTCTTCTACTCTCTTTCTCTTCCCAAAACGCTCCGTTGGTGTTGAGTAAGGGAGATAGAGAAGAAAAATGAAAATCTTTTAGTTGAATTTGTTTTTTTTTTTCCTCTGATTTTGCGGAATTTGATTATAATTTCTACTGTTTTCTCAACCAAAAATTGTTTCTTTCAAAAAAAACAAAAGGGGAAATTTTTAAAGCTTAATTTATCTCAACTGTCGATTGATTGCATTTGAAACTTGAAAGTCGAAGCGTTTCATTGAGATTTCTCTTCGTTTTTGTTGCTTGAATTGGAGCTCCAAGGTGAGAGGATTCTTTAAATTGTATTAAAAATTTTAATGTTTTTCAATTTTTTCTGTCATTTATCATTAGCATAGATGTTAATTCTTAGGTTTGATTTGGAAGATTAAGGGGAGAGACAAGGTTTTGAAAATTTTCCCGGAATTTCGTGTTTTTCAGGAAAGAACCGTGAAACGTCGGGAAAACAGAGAAGAAGGCTTCGAAGCGGAAGAAACGACCTGATTTTATTGAAAACTATTGGTTCTAAAGCTTCATAGGAGCAACATTTGGGGAAAAAAAAGAAAAATAATAACGTCAAACTTTCTCTCCTTCAATACGGTGTGCTTCAATGATTTTTTGGCCAGGTTCACATGATAAGACAGACCTTTAACTTGAAAAGAAGGAAATTTTGGTGATTTGTTTGTGAATAGAACGAAAGATACGGGGACAATGAGTGAGGAGTTGGAAATTAAGGAAGAGGGAGAGAAAATTTTTGTTTCGGTCAGATTAAGGCCATTCAAGGATAAAGATAGAACAAGAAACAATATATCTGATTGGGAGTGCATTAACAATGACACCATTGTTTTCAAGAATAGCTTGCCCGAACGCTCCATGTTCCCTGCCGCCTACACATTTGGTAAGCATTTCCTTGCCTGTTAATTGAGTCACACAGCGAAAACCATTTGCTTTCTTTTCGTTGCCAAACCATTTTCCTATTTAATCATAGTATTTTGGCAATTTTATTGTGAATAGACAGAGTATTCGGCTGTGACTGCTTGACAGCTCAGGTGTACGAGGAGGGAGCCAAACACATTGCACTTTCAGTACTCAATGGTTTTAATGGTAAGTAATCTTTTGTCTCCTTGTTTCTGTTTCTCTGGTATCTATTACTATGTAATTAAGTGAACGTTTTTACTGATGGAGAATTTTTTTTTTTTTTCAGCAAGCATATTTGCATATGGGCAAACAAGCAGTGGAAAGACATATACAATGAGGGGAATCACTGAATATGCAGTCAAGGATATATGTGACTACATAGAGAGGGTAATGATAGTTTATATTTGAAGTCTATCTATTCTGTTTCTTGGGAATGTAGAATTGAAATGACATGTTTTGTTTTGTTGAATACCTTAGCATGAAGAAAGAGAATTTTTGGTGAAATTCTCTGCCTTGGAGATATATAATGAAGCCGTCAGGGACCTCCTTAGCTCTGATAGTACCCCACTCAGACTTCTAGATGATCCAGAGGTAAAAATTTCCCCTTTCTTTATGCTGTCTGGTCGTATTTTTTATGAGTATAAACCTTTTTATAACACTGTATCACTTCAATAGAGGGGAACTGTTGTGGAAAAACTTACTGAGGAGACTCTAAGGGACAGGAAACATCTTCAGGAGCTCCTTTCAATATGTGAAGGTGAAGTGTTTCTCAAATTGTATACATTTCTTTTTCACCAGATGACATTATGTATGCATTTTGATATTGCATGTGCGCAGCTCAAAGGCAGATAGGAGAGACCTCTTTGAACGAAACTAGCTCCAGATCACATCAGATTTTGCGGCTGGTAGACATGTCAACTTGAGTAAACTTTCTTTATCAGAGTTGTGCCTGGTCTTACAGCTGTGTTTAATGATGCAATCTTGCAGACAGTTGAAAGTTCTGCTCGTGAATATGCTGGAGCTGAAAATTCAAGCATTCTTGCAGCGTCGGTGGTATAATACAGTCAACTTCTTAAAAGACAATGCAGTTTTCTTGTTTCAAATTGGAATTAATGAAATAATAAAGACAACATAATTCAAATTTGAATTAGTAAGTAGTAACTTAAACATTAACAAGGAAACTTTGACTTGGTTTTCTTGTACAGAATTTTGTTGATTTAGCAGGAAGTGAGCGTGCCTCTCAGACCTTATCTGCTGGTGCAAGATTGAAAGAAGGCTGCCACATAAATCGGAGTTTACTAACTCTTGGAACTGTAATTCGAAAATTAAGGTTGAACAATTTTTTTTCATTTTTTTCCTAAAACAAATATTGAAGGGCATGTGTCCTTAACTCCTTATAAATATGGAAAATGTTTGTTTATGGCCAATTTACTTGCACCATATTTTGCAGCAAGGGAAGAAATAGCCATGTTCCTTATAGAGACTCTAAGCTGACACGCATACTCCAGAATGCCTTAGGAGGCAATGCTAGAACAGCCATCATTTGTACTATGAGTCCTGAACGCAGTCATGTTGAGCAATCGAGAAATACTCTCTTGTTTGCAAGCTGTGCTAAAGAGGTAAGCACTAATGCGCAGGTCAATTTAGTTATGTCAGATAAGGCATTGGTAAAGCAATTGCAAAGGGAATTGGCTAGACTGGAGAACGAAATGAAGAGCATGGGATCAGCTTCAGTCAAACGTGATATTGCTATATTGTTGAGAGATAAAGAGCAACTCATCGAACAGGTGATTAAACGAACTTCACAAAGCAGTTTCCTTACATTTAACCACGACATCTTGCATCTAAGGAAGTTAGAAGTATATCTTGGCGGTGTAAACCCTGCCTTTATGTAGTTATCACAACCTTTATTATTTGGATTTTAGAAGTGGTTTAGGAAACTTGTACGGTTGTACCAATATGTTACTTCAATATTGAATCGTGAGAGCGAAGTTTAGACTGTTCAACTTTTCTTATCCTAGAGAAAAAGTAAAAGAGAGAAAAAAGAGACTGTGAAAACAAGATAAAGAAAACGATTTACTCATGTTAACCTTAGTTTTCCTCTTTTGAGAATGTACAGATGGCCAAAGAGATACAGGAATTGACTCAGCAACGTGATCTTGCTCGATCTCGAGTTGAGAATTTGCTACTGTCAGTTAGAGAAGTTCAAATGTTAAAGCAAGGGGATTATTCATTATCAAATTCTTCTGAAGTGGCCGAGGTTCCCTGTATGGTAGGTTACAACAAACATAGGGATACTGTTGCACCTCGTGTGCCTAGTTCCAATAACCAATATCTAGGGCTTCCTGAGAAATACGAAGAGGATTTTCTGCGCGATGGCATCACTCCAGAGTTTGTTGGGTCTGGTCCATGCAAAGGTTGGGGGGAGACTACCCAAAGAATGAATGGAGAATTTGAAGATAACTGCAAGGAAGTTCCATGCATTGAAATTGAAAACTCAAGCATTAAGATGAATGAAAATGCAGAAGTTTGGTCTTTAATTCCTGATAACAATGAAGGAAAATTACCCATCGAAGAGGCCATTGTCAAGAAAACCGAAACTGGTGAGTTAACAATTCATCCTGAGGAACAGGAAGGAAAACGTACCATGACAGAGGCTGTTATCAAGGAAATAGATGTTGATAATTCAACTGCTCTTGAGGAAGAGGAAAGAAAAGTAGCCTTGACAGAGGTCCTTCTCAAGAAAACAGGAGCTGGTGAGTTCCTGGCTGATCCCGACGATATTGAAGGAAAATTAACCGTGACAGAGTCAAGTATTGAGAAGCTGGAAGGTGATAGCTTCTCTACTGATCCTGAGGAAAGTCAAGGAAAATTAGACATGACTATAACCATGAAGGAAAATGTAGTATCATCCCCACAAAAGGAAGAATTGCAATCAAGTCATGTCTATACAGACGAAACTTACAAAGCTTTGAAACAAAAAATTGAGGAGCTGCAAAGGACCGTCAAATTTCTTGTCAGTATTCATCATCTAGAGTTGCCTTGTTTCTCAGATGCATCTAGCTCAAGTAGCACGAGCATGACCAGAAGCAGAAGCTGCGGTGCGGTTGTCACAACTGTGCCATCTTCACCTTACTTTGAGAAGGCAGAACAGAATGAAAGCACACCTCCTTCCACTGGATTTGGAAAGGATTTCCTTGAAAGACCAAGAGGCCTTTATCAAAAGCTTTCTGAATTGAAATATGACGACAGAAATGGAAATATGTCCAGAAGAAATTCTCAAACTTCTCGTAGTACTTCTGGGGAAGCACGAAGTCTGAAAGATTCGGATGTTGAAGACACTTTTAGTGCACTTGATTTTCCTCCACGACCATGGAAGTCATTTAGCGGTGATTCTGTGAGAAGAACTTCCTCCTCTGATTTTGCTTCGGACGGCAGTGAAACGGAACTGCAGTCAGAAAAGCAATTTGATAACAATTTGGTGAGCCTCTCTTCGTTTTTCATAGTTCTCATACGAAATCAATCTTTTAAATTTGTTGTCATATTTCCGTTTGTTACATTACAGTAACTTCTTTTGGTATGACTTAGGTCCTCATCAATTATATCTTAAAAAAAATGAAAACATGGCCTAGAAGTCAAAGATTGTGATAATTATATTCCTGCTTGATAGATAAGGTTATTCCAAGATTCTATCCTTTCTCTTCACCAAAGTGTCCAAATAGAGTGAAAAGAGATTCTTAGTAGGCATGGCACAAATATTCCTGTTCATATTATTGTACTGAAGCATACATACAGAAGTATGGAGTTGCAGAGTGCATACTACTGTTGTTTGAGTAAGAGAAATTGAAGATGCAAAGTTTTGTTGTTCCAGACTATGACCGTTTTAAGCAGTTTTATCTTCTCTTATGTGATAAAATTTTAAGAGTTTATTCTATACTCCTTTATAAACTAGTTACTGCAGTCTACTTGGTTCTCAAGTCAGTCCTTTTAGGACAGCTCATTTCAAGGTAGGACTGTCGTTCATTTTTTAGAGTATAAGTCTTTCTTTTTTTTTCCTTTGCAAAGCCCAATTTACTTAATGCAACTCTAAGAAAAGCTGTATGATCCCTATGATGATTCTTCCTGAACACCCCACCTCCGCCCCAAATTTTTGGCATATTGTGCTAACTTATCGCTGATGATTATTGGCTACTGACATATTTCCTTTTTCATGGAATGGCTAACGATGGTAGGCACAGGCACAGGAAATAATAAAGGATTCCATGCAACTGAACTCTAGTTGGCCCTCAGAATTTGAGAAGCAGCAGAGAAAGATAATTGAACTTTGGGATGCTTGCAATACACCATTAATCCACAGAACCTATTTCTTCCTGCTTTTCAAAGGTGATCCTTCCGATTCTTTGTATATGCAGGTAGAGCTCAGAAGATTGAATTTTCTAAAGAACTCAATGTCATACGAAACTAATGCTGGGCAAGATAGTCCCATCGACGCAACAGCTTCTAGGTAAATTTAAGATTTTTTTCTCAATAAGTTGAACAGTATAAGTGCAAATTCATGCATAGGCATCTAGCACTTACTTGGAATTAATCAACCTTTTGACCCGATTGAATGCAAAGGAATTACCTTATGTGATTCGTTTTCAATTCCATGCAAATTCCTAATAGTTAATAGTATATACATATTTTTTTGTGGTGGCAGTGTGAAGGAATTGATCCGCGAGAGGGGAATGTTGAGCAAACAAATCAACAAGAAGTTCTCAAGAAAGGAGAAAGAGGAACTCTTCAAGAAGTGGGGCATTGGGTTGAACACAAAGCAGAGGAGCTTACAGCTGGCTCGCAGTGTATGGACAAACATGAAGGACATGGTCCATGTCAAGGAGAGTGCTGCTCTGGTGGCCAAGCTGCTCGGGTTTGTCGAACCAAGTCAAGCCCCCAAGGAGGTAGTTGGACTCAGCATCTTGCCCCGATCTATAACCCGAAGATCTTCCGGCTGGAAGCACGGCATTCCTCCCCTGTTATAGAAGTTATTTGAAGATAAAGAGAATTATCTAGGTTCATATATTTGCAGGGTTGAAATCTTCTCATTAAGAGCAGAAGGTTTGGCTTAACTCCTTAAGTTGAACTTCTCAAATGATTCAAAAATGCAGTGCTCTGTTTTTGTCAAACTATACACTAAAAATAGCTATGGCAAAAAGGCAAAGTTGGTATTCACATCGGAGCTTTAAGCTTTTTTATGCTTTACATCATCTATGATTTGAAGACAGATCCTTCAGTGATTTTCCAGCCTGACTTGGACCCACACATTTCATATCTTGTTGTGTAGGATTTTACATTAGAGGCATTGTTCTCTGGATGATGAATATTAGTCAAGCGGGTGGACTTTTCCAGAGTTGCTTCGACTACAGTACGCTGCCAATCTAGTGAAAGAGTAACGCGGTCAATAGCCAGGTTCAGTATACTGTATTCATATATCCAACCAAGCTGGGCAATCTCAGCTGCACAACCAGTCCATGTCTTCAACATCTGACCATCCAGAACCTGGCAGTTTTCTCAGTGTTAAAGGCACACAGTCCGCTAATGAAGCAATAAACAGTCTTCAAAAGCAATCTAATAACTATGTTTAGCTGAATCACATAAAATGAAACTCCTATAATCCACATAAAACCATCCCAAAATGAAGAGAGTCCAGTTTGTGGGGCAGTTTTCAAGATTTATACTTGCGGAAATTCCAAAAAGAAAATGAAAATTACAGCATCATTACCTCTGGCAATTTATCAAGACAGTGGTCAGGCCCAAACGCCTGAGATTTAATGTTCTGCCACTTGCGAACAAAGCCTTCTGCAATTCTTGCATTCATTCTAGGTAATTCTTGCAAAGAATTTTCATCTACTGACCCTGAAAAGTTTTAAGCCAGTTTTGATCAACACTAATCATGCAGAAACAACTTCGAAGGAATTTGACATAACTTGGGTACTTTTGACATGTTTAGAGGGAAAAAACATCCTCCGTCCCCTATTACCAATTTAACATTATAACAAAAAATAAATGCAACAATAGCCATGCAAATATCACAACTTTGATTATAGGCTCAATCATTATCGGCAGCCAAGTTCTAAGTTATTATAGAAAATACTTCACTTGGGAGGCAAAAATGCGACATTAGGTCGACTATTCACTTATTTACCACATGTATAATGCATTATTAAGTCATACCTACATTAATGACATTAGATGCCATAGCTGGGCTGATTTCTTTGCCAACAACTGATGAAATTGATCTACCAGGTAAAAACTTCAAGCAACACAATGTCATCAATCCAATTACCACACTAGCAGACATGATCTTGAAACTACCATCTTTAATTCTGTCAGTAATTGTTTCTTCTTCATACATTTCTTCCGAACTACTTGTCCCAGGAATCTCAGCTAGGATGGCAGAATCCTCTTGACCAGGTTTTCCCAGGAGAAGGAGCGAGAGAGGGAGGGAAAGGGGAGGGGAGAGAGTGGTGGTTGATGAGAGGAGGAGAAAGAGTTGTCGGTGGTTGGGAAGAATTGGAAGTCGGCGAGGAGGTGATGGGCCCATTTACTGGCGTAGCAGACAGTGGCAGTTGAAGGGTGGTGGAGTTTGAAAGGTTTCCTAGGGTGAGGCAATGGAGTTAGAGAGGGAATGCAGAGGCCGATGCTAATGTGTCTCAAAGATTCCATTTTTGGAATATGTGAGATTAAAAAAAAAAAAAAAGCTTAAAGCTCTAAGGCCTAAACCGTTAAACCCTTTTTTCACTCTCAGTTGAGTAGTGCTTGCTTCAGCTTCTTCCTCTCGTTCCGGTGCGGAAAGTACTACTGTCTTTAATCCAATTTTAGATATCTACTATAACACAACTCAACAATCCGTTGTAGTCTAGTTGGTTAGGATATTCGGCTCTCACCCGAAAGACCCGGGTTCAAATCCCGGCAACGGAATTTTTTCCCCTTCAAACTCTTGGCTGTCCGCAAAAATGAGAGAAAAAAAAAAAAAAAAAAGGAAGTCAAAATAACTTTTTACCATTAATGATTTGGATAACTTCATCTTTTCTCCGAGAAGTGCAACTATCCCAGAATGTGTACAGCGTTTCCATTGCATGGTTTTACTACATTACTACTTCTTTCGTTTAAAATTTACCTAGCTATCATCAAATCACGTTAGAGGAGAGGAAAGGAGAGGAGAGGAGGGCCTAGCTAGTTTGTGATGATGACCCTGGAGCCATGGGGAGAGATTTAACCCATAAACACTGCGCAAATGATTACAACCACCACTACTACTACTACTATTAGTTAACCGCCTAAAATAATTTGAAAATGGAGGTAGTTGACAATTATTTCCTCTTGCCTTTTTCTCTTTTCTCATCAACAATGATAGATAACATGAGAACCCACTTGCTCCTTAATTGTTAAGCTTTACAGAAAAATTGCATGGGAATATATAGAGAGAAAGAGAGACTATATATCATGCTTTTAATGTTGAACTGCTATAACCGTTGGAGAAAGTTGGGTATTGGTCCTGGAATTGGTATCTTGAGCACCGCAGCTATGGTTCATCATCAATCTCAATAGATTTAGAACCCTAGAAAAAGAATGCATATCTATCCAACATTGTGTCATCCCAAAATTTTCTTTATTTACACTGGTCCTGTGATTGTGCGAGAGAGATGCGAATAACATCATTACTTCAAATAAAAATTGGTACTTTTGTTTGGAAAAAGTGAACTCTGGGTAGTGATTTAAGCATCATATAGATCAATTTAAGTGATCAATATCGTATGATCATGCACATTTAGTACTTGAGGACAAAGACCACAGAGCTATCAGTTAAAATTCCTTTCTTTTTCCACGGAAGTGATAGAAAATTCTAAAACTGGGCCACCTGGCAACGGAAAGCCGTCAGGAATATCTTATGCGCTAGTCAGGGAAAACATCAATAGCCCTTTTGACCCCAATTTATCCGTAACCAGACCATAAAAAAAGAAATTAATAATCTGCCAATAATAGACTCTGAAATTATTGAATTTCTATTTATTTGTGATCTTTGTCTTTGCTATCTACACAGTATTGAAGTAGTTTAATCTTCTTATGAACAAAGTTCTAATTCAAAAGAACACAAATATGTTTCACCACAAGAATGATTGCTAATTAATAACCTAAATTTTGTTTTTACTTCGTCAACATATCACAAATGCTTTAGGCCAAAACTAGTTATAGTAAATTTTGATAGTGTTAAATTCTAGATTTCATTTAATTGATTTATACAATTATATTTAAAAAATAATATCTAATATTTTAATATTTAAATATTAATATTTGTAAACACTTTTCAACCAATGCTCCTTCCTACGTGCCTTATTATTGCTAAAAGAATTACTTAACGCCTTGCATATTTAAATATAAATATTAATATTCATACAGCAATGGTAAGAGCCTTACCAATGCGTGCAATATTTTCCTACGCAAAAGGAATTGGCAAAAAGTGCAACCCCATTGTCCTCCGCCTTGGTTTCGTGGCTAAAAAAGTTTTATGAGAACATAAAATCTTAATTTCGAGTCAAGATCTCTTCTTTTTTCCCCGTCATAAAAGCTATACCCTCTCTTTAAAAAAAAAAAAAAAAAAGGGCGACCCCTTTGCATTGCCTTTTATAGCTTATAGCCCTGCATCCGCATATGGTTTATCACACGCAAGCAAATCTATCATTCTTCATGGCTCATTGATGAATTGAGCAGAACAGTGAAATGGCAGGAGGCGTGTAAAAGCATACAAGAAAATGCACTCTGAAGCCAACTGCGAAGACCCAAGGAAGGCTTAGTTGAGGCATAAATAACTTAGGCTAGCTGCGACTGCAAGAATAGCTTCATATCACATTCACACCAAAATATAAGCAAAAAGAAATAGTGCAAGCAGTAATTCTACAAGGTTTACATTGGATCCACAAGTACATAATTTTATAATGAAACTAAGTTACAGACTTTATTGAAACAACTAGTTCATATCTCTGATCTATCATCAGCCAATGCAAATTTCTCAATCTGTAGGAACACTCAACACCGGTGGCCAAGAAATTTTATGTAGAAAACACTTCCTGAAAAAAATTAATATAACTCTGACCAGCAAAAGAAAAGAAAAATATATTCAACAATTCATCAGGTACCATAGCCAACCATACAGTTACCGAGTAATTAGGCCTTTGTTCACTCAGCTCTTGACTGACCAGCTCTGGAAGAGAGAATAATGCCGACAATCAAGCCATATAGTGCCAATGCTTCAGCAAAGATGAGAATGAGGATCATCCCAACAAAAAGCTTTGGCTGTTGTGCATTAGCTCTACAAAATCCAATTACAAAATAAGACAAACAGTTCCAAGGTAATACTGCTTGCAAACTACTTAAAAGACAAAATAAAGCAACAAATCATCAACAAAAGTACCAAGGAATATCAACATATACAAAATGAATAATAGCATATCCAAATGCTGTCAATGATATAGTACTAGTTTAAGGGGATATAAAACAAGAATAATGGTTACATTAGGGGTGATAACGGTTCGGTTCGAATAAGATTTGGTTCAATTTTTTCAGATATTGCATAATATTATGAAAATTTAAAATCCGATCTGAATTCGAACCGAACTTTCATTCGATCCAAACCAAACCAAACAAATTTTATCGGTTTGGTTTGATTTACCGATTTTTAATTTTTATATATTATTTTAATATCAAATTTTAATATATTTAAGTAGATTTTGATATAAAATTATTATTTTTATTTGATAAAAAATTAAAAAATATATATAAACTAAGAAAAAAAATAAAATTCCATTTGGTTCCAATTTTTTTTGTTTTTCATCTCCCGATCCGAACCTACTATATATATATATCCAAACTTGATCTGAGCTGAATAAGAAAACAATCAATCCAAACTGAATCAAACATTACGGTTTCGAATCGATTTTCGGATTTGTCGGTTTTTTTTCTCACCCCTATGTTAAATTACATTCATGTTTCCTTCCGAAGCAATCATAAGTACCCTAACAACATCTTCATCAAGCTCAAGGCCTAAAGGACCCTACTTAAATTTCTCCCGAGCTGCATCTAAACAACCAAGAACGAAAGGGCTTAATTTTCAGGGTTAACAAGGTGATATAAAATGCTCAACTTGGTGATTATTAATGGTAAACATCAAAAAATCAGAAATAATACCAATTTTCTACAGAGAAATTGTATGATCATAAAGCATAAACCAACTAAAAATAAACTGTTTAACCAAAGCTAAAAGAATTACCTAACGCCAGCATCACCAACGATCCCAATAGCCATACCAGCGGAAAGACCAGCAAGGCCACAAGCGAGACCAGAAGACAGATGCGCATACCCATCGAAAAGGTAATAAGATTTAGCCTTTGGGTTAATTCCGGTACTAATGATAACAGCAATAATTAAGCCATAAATACCAAGTACACCAGCCATAACCACAGGGACGATCGACTTCATCACCAGCTCTGGCCTCATCACCCCCATCGACGCTACACCAACCCCACTCTTAGCGGTCCCATAAGCGGCTCCCATACCTGCGAAACATCCGATTAAAACCCCATACCCCAGATCCACAAAGATAAAAATCATCTCTTAACAAAGTCAAAAAGTATCGTAAATTGCTTACAGGAGAAAACAAGGGCAGCTGCAGCGCCCAAGAATCCGAAGAAAGGAGCAGTTTCATCGCCGCTAAAGGTTGAAGACATTTTTTCCGAAGAGCGTAACGGATCGGATCTGAGAATGTTTAATTCGCTCCTGCAAAAGCAATATTTTTTTTAAAGCAAATCTAACTGGAAAAAGTAACGAAACAAGGACTAGCTCAATAACTGGAAATTGGGCTTCTTTAGGGTTTATAAGAGTCAACTTGGGCCGTAGAATTGGTTCCAATCCACCAGATATTTTCATATCAATTCTATTCTAAACCCTTTTTTTGTTTCAATAAAAAACAGTAATTTTCTTTTAAAAATTATTTTGGTTCAATAGAAAAATAAAATACTTGCAAGAATATATTCTTAATAGTTTTGTCATTGTTAAATGTTTTCCAAAAGCTGAGCTTAGTTATAATCAAATAATTGGTAAAGAATATGAGCTTTCGAAGATCCAAAATGCATTTTTTTTTTTAGTGTGATAACATTTAAGAAGAACATTTCAACCGAAAACAATGAAGATTAATTGTAAGCCCACACTTAACTCCAAACATGGGCCGATCATTGGTTATTAGTTTTACGCCAAGGCCTACCATTGTTCAAGAGTAAATACCCACCTTTTCTTGAAAAACCTCCGCCGACTAGTTTTTACAAGCATGTATTAGCAACGAATGACAGAAGATAAACTGCAAAGCACATTTTCAACTACATAAATCGACTTATCACTGGGTACCAACAGTTTCATGATCATTAGGATGTCAACTGTCAGCAAAATACATTGGAGTCACACCATATCTCAATTAATTAACCACCCAAGATAAGGGTTAATTCTTCAGAAGCAGCCAAGGTTTCATGGAGTAGCAGTATAAATCTCTGCTCTATATTTGGTTGGGACTAAAACCATCATGTTAAAGCAGTTGCAGCTCATTCATTCTATAAACCTTGAAAGCTTAAGGAAAATAAAATGCTAAATATCCAAAGATAAAAGAACATGTAAATATATTCGAGCTTCACCTGTATTAATTGGATCTTTGCAACATTATCACCCAACCTGTGGTCATAATAATAGTTTCTAGGCCTTAAGAATTCAGTACATAAGAAGCAGAACAGTGCATACCTCCCATTGGCCAGAACTACAACATTTTCCCAACCTGGAATTCCAGAGAGAATGGTGTTAGCGATGAAGTAATAACCAGGAAATAAAAAAAGGATATTCTACTATTTACATTCTGCATATACAAGTGTATAAAATATAACAGCCAGCTAGTATCGCATAGTACATGCCTCTAACTTACCCAGCAGTTGATATACATTATTAATGTAGAAAGTTGGAATTATTTCAATTTAAATATCACATAGGACACAGCTCAAAGTCTTCAATCATGGTACGGAGAAAAAAAAAGGCTCCATGCACGCTGATGCCATGCAATTCAAACCCAAGCCCCCAATACAGGCGCCATACAAACAACGACAATGTAGATACTGTCCCTCAGATTCATTCTGTGCATGTAATGCGACATTCCTTATACAAAGATTTGAAGAAAGAAATTGAAGTTAGCAAGTGATGTTCAATTAAAAAATCAGGACAATATTGAAGCATTTCCAGATAGACGATCTCTGTATGCTCGTCATCAGTAAAAGAATACTAAGCTGTACACATCAAAAACAAGAAGAAAAGTCAAGACAAGTAATGTCTCATCTGTGGGAATCCCAGGATAAAATTTTGGGTCTTGACTGCCACCCTTCGAAGTACAAGGTCATTTAGCCAATGAATATAAGGATTTTGATGTCACCTTCACCGCCAAGCGATTGCCCAGAATCCAGATGAGATGGATGAGCCACAACACTTTTATTGAGCCTGTTCACAATAAAGAAGCCAATTCAACATCCAAAAACAGCCCCCTCTACCATATTCCAGTACCAGTTCCGATAAAATTTGCAAGAACACATTAACTTGGGCGACTTTTGCTCTGCTTTCGGGGTCAATCAAGATCTTAAAACACTGAACCACGTTTTTTCTTCCTTGGACACCTTCTGGATCGTGAACTGCAGATTGTAGAACTCTTTGTGCAGCACCACCATCATTTAAGGTAATGAACTCATGCAGAGAGAGAGAGGCTATTGTAGGTCTTGCAGAGAAGCAGCCAATGAAGCATACAGTCAACCCTTCACAGCATCATGGTTTCATGACTGGTTTATTCGCCATGTGCCTCTCAATCAATTTGTCCACAAAGGAACGAATCTGCATGTCAAAGGCATCCAAATTAAGTTTCATCAAGAAACCAAATCTATTTACTACCAATAAGTGTCCATTATTGCAAAGGAATGTACCAACTCAGTAAGAGTGATAGCAACAAGGTTATCTATCTAACAGAACAAAGAAAAAAGCAGTTGTCTTCTTCACAGTAAAAGGGAAAGGAAACCGTAATCACATCAGCAGTTTTGTAAGGAAGTCTGTTAAAATGATGTGAAGAATAGTACTATAATAGTAAGAAGTATAGATAAAGTTAATTTACAAACAAAACCTAAAAAAAGCAAAAATACAGCCAGGTATCATCACAATAGTAATTAATGAAGCCAGTAATGTCCATCAGAGAATCTTTCAAAATTGGGGAGAAAAAAAGAAAAAGAAAAAGTAAATCAACAGGTCCAATAGGTAAACTGGGTAAATAGATATATTGGATACAGCACAAATAAAATGCATACCTTATTTTTGCGCTTGAAATCAAGAAATTCAGAAACAGCCATGTTTTTCTCTGCATTTGTTGCCTGCTCCATTACCTGTTAAAGGAACTATAAGGGTAAGACCAGAGTGGAAGTAGAGAAGAAAAGAAGTGGAGAACTTAGGAGTGAAAGACAAGAATGGGAAGAGAAGGCAAACCTTTGTTGCAGTTTTCTTCATTATCAATTTGTAACCCTCCTTATCAATTTTTCTTGCCTTATAAAGGGGCATAAGCAGTGATGCAACATAATCAACAACAGCCTGTTTAATACGATCAGCTCCACAAGGATGATTTTTACATCGCTCCTTGTTTACTGTAACTTGGGAGATGGAGCTCTCATTCGCTCGTCCATCATGCTTCGAGGTTGGTTGCCTTGAACTAATATTTGAATCTTCCTCATCCCTCACATGCCTTGTCGGATGGAAGAAATCAGGATCAGCAGCAGCTGCTTGGGACTGCCATCTCTCAATGGCATGATAATCCTTAATCCCCCCACTACCAGCAGTATCAACCCATGCTTTTGTATAGATACTGCTGTCCATGGCCAAACTTTCTCCAGAGTGCTCTCTAAGTTTCAAGCGGCTAGCAATCTCATTTGAGTGGCTCCTCTGAGACAGGTTATCTACTGACATTCTGGAAGTGTTGAGGTTAACACAAGCAGCAGAGAAATCAACAGACCAGTCCCTAACTCTGCAGTTCCTAGAGTCTATTTCTGATATACAATCTTGTCTTCCCAAAACACCACCTGGCCACTTCCCTTCATCCATTTGTGCATATTGCTCCCTTCTTGCAAATTTATGAAAAGAAGGAATCTTGGGAAGCTGTAGCAATTTGTTGCAGTTGGCTTCTGTGGATGCAAGTGCCTACAGAGAAAAATAGTTAATCCCTTTATAAACACAAGTCCATAACCACAGCAGAAGAAGGAAATTTTTTTTAGTGAAGGTGAAAAGCAAAAGTTATGAATAATATGGTTGTAGAATGCCATGTCAGGCGACTCTTTGCATTTTAAAGTAATATCAAATACTGTCACAAGTTATCCAAATTTGGCCAGTCTATCAACTAATAATATCATCTTGATCAAAAGTGAAAAGAAGCATGCCATTCAATTCTTTCACAGTACAAAAGCCATCACACAATATTCTTAAAAATTTACATGAAAAGGCAGTATGTTAAAAAAATAACAGCAAACCAGGGGATAAGCTCTGTAACTTTGTTGGCCTTTAAGGAAAACAAGATAAAGCCAAACGTCCACAAGCACAAATAAAGCCTCAAGGTGGTATCCAAGTAATGGTAGTTTACGGACACTGTATCAACGTAGATATGCCACTGTATGTATGGGTAAAAGAAAGAACAAACCTCAGCAGCTGCTTTTGCTGCAGCTCGAGCAGCTACTTCAGCAGCAAAGGCAGCCTGTTCTTCCTCAGACATTGCCACGGCTTCTACCTCCATCTCCATTGATTTGCCATTCTCTTTCACATTGAAAGGATACTGGCTTCCAGCAGAAAAAGGATCCTGCAAGCTTTGTTTATTCTCAAAAGCAACATGATGCACACACAGAGGTGGCTTTCCTGAAGCTGGATCTTTAAGGGATTTTCTCTTTGAAGAAGCTTTTGCCTTACGGAAGACTTCAAGCCACACATTAACAAGCTGGCTTGCTATAGCACGTATGTCACGACTTGTGTGTAAACAAACTTTTTCCTTCACAGTTTTCCCTATGCCTAAAAATAAAAAATTATTAATAAAATGTCATCTTAGCCACTTTTATTCAGCACATACTAGTTCATGGAAAAGCCATCAGAATTGCACAGACAAACCAAAAATTCACACATGCCATGCAAATACATTGTGAATGATACCACATATATGACATGCATAAAATAAACCAATACCGGATGAACGAACTGCAAGTAGATCAGTCGAAACAAGCACAAGAAGACGAACACAATGGCGCAACAGTTGAGTCCCATCTTTCCCCATCGAATCCTATAAATTTCAATTTGAACACAATATAAACATCAAAGGCTATTATTTAATGCCAATACATAGGTGCATTGCTAGAAAAAAAATCCATATTAGGACTCAAGGATGGATAATAAATCAAGAAAAGCAATAATACCAGCATCCAAGAGTTGAGTATGGCAAGCCCTTCCTTTGTCCCAGCAAAGGATTTCAAGGATTCAACTGGAAGACCCAACAACTTTTTGGCAAGATGCAATCGTCCAGCAGTGGTTTTCACATTAAAGAACATGTCCTTTACTAATGCTTCTCTAGTCAAAAGCCGAGCTCGATCCAAAGAATTTTTGTACAAGATATTAGAAAGTTCAACTGCTTCAAGTCTCTTAATTATGTCCCTAACTTCATCCCTTTCTGATTCTGACCGTCTCTGTGAAGCCTCCATTGCCTCTACTTCAGCTGTATAATCATTTCCAGTGGTGAATATGTCAATGAGTCGCACAGCCTCCCGAAGTCCACTCAACATTGCACCACCAACTGTGTCAGGATGCTCCTTGCAGGTAGCTTCTCCAGCAAAAAATAAGCAGTTCTCAACAGGCCTGCCCAACATATCATAGTCTTCTCCAGATGCTCCAATGGCAACATAAGAGTAAGCACCATAGCTGAAAGGATCCCTGCCCCAATCAGTCACTACTGAGGCAATTGGATCAGGAACTGAAGCCTCTCCAAAAAGTTTACGGAGAACAATTACTGCATGGTTTACATGATCTGATGAGCTCATACTTTGACCATCAATAGCTGCCTTACCAGCCACTACAGCTATAAGAACAGGAGCCCCAACAGTTTTTCTGACATTCCAAAACATAAAGCAATGGCCTCTACTATTTGTTTCCTCAGCAGTCACTCCAAAGTAATCCACAGTATCATCCCAAAACACCTCTGGGAATTCCAAGACAACTTTATTAAGAACTCCAAAACCAAGCCGCTGTATGGAAGAATGTTTCCATTGGGGCAATGGAGGAGAAAACTTTATGGCTCCCACTTTCAAGCAGCCAAGAGGCACAGTAATAAGCACAGCATCTCCTGAAAACTCACTGCCATTTGATGTAGAAACTTTGACCTGCCTATTTTGACTATCATCAATTCCAGAGTCCTTCAGACTGTATGAAATATTTGTGACTACATGGTTCAAGTGGATGAAAAGTCCTTCTCCAAGAGACTCAACCACTGTGCTGTAACCCCCTTTAATCATACAATGGGCTCCTCCAAAGCCACCATAAACATCATCTTGGTTCCAGTGGGGAAGAGACACTTCCTTAAGCGAAGCAGCACAACCATACTCCAAGTGGGCATAGTGCCAATTCATAACCCTTCTCTCAAGGGGACTCAAAATCTCCTCTTCAGAAAATTTTTCTTCTGGAATTTTTCCAATGACATTGCTTGCTTTGGAATCATATAAAGCATCCATTGAAGAATGTGATTCTGTTTCTTCAATATCTGCTCCTATTTCTGCCATGCGATGCCTTTTTAGAGCATATTCTAAACCATCCTCAAGAGACATTCTCATTGCTTTTTCACCTTTTTGAGCAAGAAGAAACACCATGTCATCAAGAAGGGCGTTGTATTCAGCTTCCAAAGCATCATCTAGATCCACAGGAACCTTTTGACCAGTTATGATGTCATAAAGAGGGCAGGAGCTATTCAAAACAGTTAACTCTAGTCCCAACTGTGCACAAACCAATGAGGAAGGATCCGGTCTTCTATTAGTGGACACGTCAGCCTCAACTCCTGTAACAATGCTAGCCCCAAGATCCACAGGTACTGAAAGAGAGGAACAATCTGTATAAACACGACCTCCTATCCTATTCCTAGCCTCAAGTACAACTACAGAAAAACCCTGACGTTGCAAGTGGTGTGCAGCAGTCAATCCAGCAGGACCAGCTCCGACAACTATAATTTCTTTTCTGACCTCTGAATCACCCTGCAAGTGGTGGTTCCACTCAGGATTATCATAAGCAGCAGATTGAACATATTGTGAATCATTCCTTTCTTCCAGAGTTACTACGGGGGCTATTCCCATGTCAACTGCATCACAAGGTAGATCAGCATTTGGAACCTGCAAATTAATCAAACCAAGGTTTAGTTTTGCCTTGATACTTCCATTTTGCTGGCAATTATCACTTGGGCATTCTTCTTGTTCTTTTACATTAGGTAATTCTGGTGTGATCGAATCAACCAATACTTCACATATTGTGGCTTGAGGTGCCTGGTTTTGATCATCAACTCTAACACCATTCTTTGCCTCCATAGAAGCTTCAGAAGTCTTGACCTGACCAAGGGTAAAGGCAACTCCTTCCTCTGAATCAGCAACAGAGGTGCCAGAACTACCCTCAAAAGTTTTTTCCTCCAGAAGTTTGTAGTTATGCTTAGCACTAAGTTCAGCCTTCTCTTTCTTGGAAGCTATTCCAAAGTTTATAAAACCCTGCAAAAAGGAGGTTAGCATTTCATTTTCTACCAAACTTCAAGACCAACACTAAATATAACCTAAGAGTACTAAAATCTGAGACATAAAAGAAATTTTATCCATCAAAAACCATATAAAACAAATTGGACTCATTAAAGAGTACAAACTTACACATTGATCAAGAAATGCATATATATCCCTAATTAGGGAAGCACAGGGTGGGTCATTCTCTGAAGGAATATCACTAACACCACAGTCAACAAGAGGCAAAATTCGGGTAACATCTTTACTCCAAAGAGCTAAGATATGATTCCTGCAGCACCAAGCGATTAATTCCATTGAAGAAAGCAGAACTTCTTAAAATAAAAAATCAGAAGGTAGCACATTGTAAACAGTCAATTATATGAAAAATTCCAAGTTTATTGGCCAAATCACAGATCATTAAAATAAAAAACTTCCACAAAAGATGCTACCTGGTGCACAAGGTTTAAAGAGTAATTAATCACTGTAGTATAAAGTTGAAAATGAAAAAAAATAATGGGAGCATAAAAACAGGAGCCCATACTCAAAAAAATTCATGATAACAATGATAAGTAAACAAAATTATATACACATTCACGAACCTGCATTCCAAATATTCCTGTAGCCCACCTCTACACTTCAAGACCTCCTTAAATTTGATCTTCTCAAGTGGACCCACAGCACGAGCTTTTAGGCCAGCTGAGACTGCTGCCTCAGCAAACTTCTCTCTTGCTCTAAAGGAATGATCACTGTCTACAAAATGTTGACTTCCGAAAAAACCTTGCTCATTTAACAAATTCTCCCAATCAGCATCCCCTTCAGAAGCCATATCTCCATGCCTACGTTTTTTAATACTGCGCCCCACTCGCTGGCCAGCTGATGACTTACTCTCTTTGATTTCAGAACTAGGCAGAGAGACTGCATCTTCATGGAAACTTTCATTTTCATCAGGTGTTAAAGATGTAGGAGAATCTCTATTAGCCTCTTCGTTGATGAAAAAACATTCATGGCTGGCAACACAGGGCCCATGGCATGCATCTTCAGATGGTTGATGCAGCCTCAGATGGTCGATGCAGCCACTTTCTAATTTTGCAGCCTCTTCAGAGTTTTCCTTCCCAGCTAAAGAAATTTTGAGATCTGCACTTGAAATGTGTTTGTCAGAAATATTCACAGGTTGCCAAACCAAACCTCCATCAGCAGACCCATGCATTTCTTCTATCTGCTTTGAGGAAGAAAGAGAGTTGGGCATTTCAACTAAACAGGGCACTGAACAGCCTATTTTACCAGTACATTGAAGCTCTAATCCATCCTTTAAACCTTCTCTTTCTGGTTTGCCCCTCAGGTCAATTGCTGAACGATTGTCCCTGAGCTGAACATTTGAATGCCAATTTCCATCCTTGTCACAAACTTTAGGTGACCTACATGGATCCTCTGTAAATCCATTTTGAACATTTAAGTCACATGGTTCCAAAATGCTTTCTTGTTGACACACAGCATCCTCTAATCTTTGATTCTCCGCTGTGATGCATTCTTTGGAGGATGAATGCAACAAGCTTGAACAAAGAACTGAATAAGAACTATCATCAGAATTCCTACTTGGGCTCTTTGAAGCAGAAGCATGATGGGTAGCCTTGCAATTCTGTTTCAAACTCGAATTTGAGAGAGATCTCCTTAGTGAAACAGATTGTGCCTTCTGGAAAAAGGTAGACAATGACTCTCCCAACTTCTCATCCAAAGACTGATTTGAACCTTCCCCAGGCCACAAGCCTCCCTCATTCTGGTCTTCCTCAAGCTGAGATTCCAACCCTTCTGATTCATCATCAATTCCAATGGGCTTTGGTTTTGAATCAAACTTGGCTCTCCTCACTTTCCCTGTATGTTTTTTGTCCACCACTTTATCAGTAACCACATCACACCTGTCTTCACCAATATCCTGACCTTTCTCCAGAGTCTTCAATACAAATTTCCCACCCAAAACCGCATCATCCTCAACCAATTCATTTAAAGTATAACCCCTTCCCCTCATTGTTCCAGGTTCAATACCTTTCTTGGGACCCTTCAACTTCTTCCAAAAGATAGCCAATGTCTCATCCATTCCCCCCAAATCATCCTCATCCTTGCCCACACTTTTACCCACCTTAACTTCAACCTTCAGACAATTCTCAGCACTGCCCTCCAATCCAGCCTTAACCTTTCTAGGATTCTTAGGTTTCCTTAACTTCAACAAATACCCAATGGGTTCATCATCATCTGCATCAAAACCAACCTTAGCAGCTGCAACCTTTAATCTTTTCTTAAAGCCACCGCCACCATCCATTTTCTTGTTATTAGGTTTCAATGAATTCCGTAACGAAACCTTCTCTAACCCTAGTTCAACATTATTCCCCAAATCAAATTGCAATTCCGGACATGTCTTGGAATTTGAACCATCATCACTTTCCATCTCTCAATTACCAAAAAACCAAAGCTCATAATTTCAAATAAAGATTCCCTCCTTCAAGCAACTAAAGCCATAAGCCAAAAAAATTCAAAATCCTTAAATATTCAGCAAAAAACATATATTCACAACTAAAAGTGGATAGAGTTTCTTTCAATTAATGAGTTTTCCACAAAGAATCGTCAATGCCTTCGTCCTAAACCCTCTCTAGTGCATGAAATCCAATGAGGAAATAAGATTTCTAAGAGAAAAAAAATGGCAATAACAAAAATCCAGGGTTTAGTAAGCCCCAAGGAAAGAGGTAAAGTCAGTGAGAGAGGGATTACGGACAATCCAGACCTGAGGGGACGAAAGCAGTGAGAAACGGAGGCGTTAATGGAATTTGTCGAGGAGAGTGAGAGGCGCACGTTAGCGTCGTTGTTTCTGGAATGAGGTGGGCTCACGCAGCCACGCCCCCTATGCATTGCATTGCGAACACGGTGGAGTGGAATATTTTATATTTATTTTTATCATTAGGAGAAAATATAAAGGAATTAAATAACGATTAACTAACCTCGGAATAATGCCTCTTTTATTTTTGGCTCCACATGATTTTTTTTTTTATTGGAGGTTGGATTTTGTAAATTGAAAATAATTACTTGAAATTAAAATAATTGGTAATCAGATTCCAAATTCAATGTGTTTTATATTAAGTGTTTATTTTTAATAATTTTTAAAAAAAATCATATTCTAATGATAAATAAAGAGATTACAAGTGATATGATAATTTTATTGAAAATATTATTTAAATTATTTAAATTAAAATTTAGATATTTACACGAATTTTAATTGGTTGTTATTTATGAAAAGAAAAATATAATATCTTTAATCCAGTTAAGATTTATTTAAAAATACAATTTTCATCATTAATGTTACTTTTTTATTCCTTGAAATTGTAAGTGGAGCACATGATAATTTTTTAACTCTATTTATAGAATTAAAAACTTATATTATTAAATATATAAAAAATAAAATCATTTTATTATTATTAAATATAAATCATAATGAACATAATTTTAGACATATATATAAAATATGATAAATTTAGTACGTATAAAAAAATATTACAAGGATCTGTGTAAGTTTTTATTAATTTAGTTCTTTAACATATATCTGAATAAAACATGTAAAAACATTTTAATTTTGTTAATGGAGTTTACAAACTTAAACATCATAGATAATTTTATACAATATTATGTATGTAATTTAAAAAATAATTGAACGATAAAAAAAAGGAAACAATATAATTAGAAACAATTCTTCTTTTGTTAAATAACAAAAAAATTCTTTAAATTTTATTAGTTTATTTTAATAAATTTCTATATTTTATAGTATTCAAATAAATTTTTTATTTTTAATTTTTTTGAATAAGTTTTTAATCTTTATTTTATATCTAAATAAATCATTAATATTAATCAATTTTCCATTTGAAATAAAAATTTAATTGGATGCAAATCAAATAATGAGAATTTATTTGAATAAAATAAAAGTATAAGAGTTTTATTTTTAAAAAATAAAATAATTTAGGAATTTTTAAAAATATTTTAGCCTTCTAAAAAATAATTTGAAATTTAGTTATTTTTTATTTATTTTATTGGTAAAATTGATTAAAAACTCTAATATTATTAAAGAAAATATATACTTTAACCTTAATTATTACTAATTTGTTTTATTTCATGCATTATTAACAAGAGAGAAAATAAAAAAAGAAAAAAATCGTTGGGGCGGCTTGGCGCTAAAATGGGTAACCGTTAACTCCTTTTCACATAAATTTTTTGTGCAAAAAATATGTAGTCAAGACTATTGATGTTCCGCTAAAGGCTCGAAGCAAAGAATGAGTTATAAGAGCAAGAGACCACCACCTGACCCGGTGGCTGTACTGAGAGGCCACCTCGCTTCCGTCACCGATGTTTGTTTCCATCCTTCGAGATCAATTTCGTTCGCCGGGTAAATCGTCAACTTCTCTTCTTAACTTCCCTTTTTTATCACTCACATTTATTTTTTGACACAAAATAAATGTGGGTTATTCTATGTTTCAGTTCTTCAGATGGTGAGTTGCAGATTTGGGACATAATTCAGCATCGCACGGTGTAAGTTTCATGCTTTGTTGCCATTCTTTTAATTTCCTATTTCCTTTTAAATTTTTTTTGACGAAATCAAGCTTGTTTTGTTGATTAACCATTGTTATTTTTTTTTTTTAATATGGTGCATAGTGCTGCGCATGGGATTCTAGCTGTTGCTTGCAGTTCTTTGTTGGGGACCAACAAAGTTATCAGGTGGTTGTCCTTGTTTGTTATGTTTTATGGTTTCTGGAATTACAAGATAAATGCTTGCAGTTCTTTGTTGGGGACCAACAAAGTTATCAGGTGGTTGTCCTTGTTTGTTATGTTTTATGGTTTCTGGAATTACAAGATAAATGGGTTTTTTAATGTTTTTTCTAACATATGTGGTCAGGGCGGGGATGGAACTGTCAAGTGTTGGGACATAGAAGAGGGAGGTTTCTCCAGGTACTTGACCACTCTTAATTGTTCTCCATTGAAAATGGTGGCCATGGGGATGTGGGTTATCAATGCTTCTTTTTTACGCAGTTTATATATTATAGGAAAACATGTTTGGCTAATTTTGTTATCCATAAATGCCTATATTTCCATGATATGAAGTATGAAGTTTAATAATCCATACGGTTTTTAAACATTGACCTGGAATGTATTATCGACCGATGGCAACAACTATTTAGAGATTAAATGACTAAATCTTTTTCCTTTCTAGTATCTTGTTTTGTTAGTTTGTAAAATAATGACTTGAAAGTTGGAAATATAGAGAATTGAGTAGCTATTGTTGTGTAGATGCTGCAAGGGATTAGATTGCCATATCTGTTTTCTTTTTGTCAAATAGAAGTTCTCCAAATCTGTATTTTATAGTTGAGCCTGCTTATTGTTTGTTAACTGAGATTCACGGGCGTACCAGCAGATTTGGGATCTTTAGAAAAACTTCATGTTTTATTATTTTGGTTTTGATGCCACCCACCAGCAATATCTAGTAATAAGTTGGAATCTCACCTTACTCCTATTTTGGTTCTTGACAGGACACCCTCAGTTACAGTCAGCACAAATGCTTACCACTTCTGCAAGCTGTCTTTAGTGAAGAAACCTATTGCTAATGCAAAGCAAGGCAAGGAAGCCGTTGATATAGAAATTTCTGATGATAGTAAAGGAAAGACTGCAGAAAATCAAGTTCAGGGTTCCAACACCTTTGAAGGTTAGTTTATGAGGTTCAGGCAGGTTTTCAACATAAATGTTTGTGACAACACACTCTCTCTATAAGCTTAGATTTTCGATGAGTTTCTAGATTCAGAAATGGACTCAAGGGACCATTTTTTTCCCTAATCAATACTTATTGTGAGGACTTAATATTAGCTTATCTGACAATGAAGATGCTCTCTTAGAATGTAGAAAACAAATCTTAGAAATTTTCTATGTGGATATGGAAACGGGGGCTGGTATGCTTGTAGTAATATTTCACTTGTATAGCTCTTACTGTTTTTTAAACCATCCTTGTTACAATAGCAAAGCAACCACTTCTTCTCCTACGTCACACTCTGGGATCAATTCTTCTGGTTTTACCTTGGTAATGATAGAGCATGCAGGGCCTTTTGAAGGGTAAGCTTTACCTTGGTAATGATATAGCACGCAGGGTCCTGTTGAAGGGTAAGCTGTAATCTGGAACGGGAAGATGCATCTTGGAAAGAACTCAGTCATTTTTTTTTCTTTAACGAGGAAACATTTACACCCATGTATGTGCTAGTCCATCCTATTGAGCTTATTGCAGCACTAATGGCAAAATTTTACATTAGATTTTTCTTGCTAATGCTCATTGCACTATGTTTTATTTGCATTTATATGTTGATTGCTTATTGATTCTTCTAAAATTTCATTGCTATGGCCTACTAGATCATTTGCTTGGTGGATTAACAGAAGAAACATATGTTGAAGGACTAAAGTATGTGGCTATGGCAGGAGAGGAATCTTCTGAGGATAATATGCTGCTTCTGGATATATTTTGTCCATTCAATTTACTCTTGTTTTCTTTCTTCTTATTCGGATTTCTTATTACTGATTGTTTCCATGTGTTTTATATGCTAAGGTTGAGATTTGGGATCTCAATACAGGCAAAAGGTCTGCACTGCTATCTCAAGACAACTTTCTTTGTTCTTCTGGTTTCTCTAGTAAGGAGAGAGGTCAGTTTCTGATACATTACTTTTGACTCCGGACATTGCAAGTTTTGCATTGATAAATCAGCTCTAGGATACCAAACATTTGGCTAATTATTCAGTGCCATTATTCAAACATCTTGTAATGGAATTGGTTTTGTTAGTTTTTTCCATTAAGTGGGATATTGGCATGTCTATAATCAAGAACAATGGTCTATGAGAAGCTTTAATTTGTAATGTCCTTTCTGATGAGTGTCATTGTGCTTGTTGTTGATTGTTGAGGCGTTTAAAACTATAACTGGTTGTTTTTGGCAGGAATGTGCATGGCACTTCAATCATTTTTACTACCTGGATCAGAGGGTTTTCTTAATGTCTTGGCAGGGTATGTCTCTGATATCTCCATCTACTGCACCGGAGTTGGTTCCAACATCTCCCATGTTTTTACTCCAATCATTCTCAAAAAGTAGAAGGAAAAGACTTATTGTTTGCGGTTGGTGCTTTTAAAGATTGTGGAATCATTGTTCCAAAAGAGGGTTGAATTAGAGATTTTAATATGGTGTCCGACTTTTGGAATAGCTATCTAAGATATTGTCATTTATGGATTTGTATGATGTATGTGCTAGTTATGAGGATGGTTCCATTCTTTGGTGGGATATACGAAATCCAGGGAATCATTTAACTTCTATGAAGTTCCATTCAGAGCCAGGTGTGCAACCCAGAATACAGAGACCTCACATATATTCTCCTTCATCTTTATCTTCCTTTTCTAATTTCCTTTTCTTCATAAAGTAAGTATGTTTTATTCTTATTCTCCACACAGTTCTAAGTTTATGCATTGATGGATCATGCAATGGAGGTATCTCAGGGGCAGCAGATGACAAGATTGTAATTTACAATTTGGATTATCCCATGGTAATTCTCATTGTATTTAAAGTTCTTTCCACTTTGTTTAAACCTCCCATGGACTCCTTTTTCGTTACTTATAACTTATAAGCTGGTTGCTAACAGCATACAGATTCACATGCCCTCTTGCTGCAATCTTCAATGTTTTAGTTATGACTAAGGAATTTTCATTTTGGAAATCATTGACCAAATGTTTCCTATGGTGTTTCTGTATGATACTTGCATTTGTATGCTTTTGTGGATCCAGTTTTTCTGGTAATATCAAAGAGTGACATCAGATGGCTCATAGTGCTAATTTTTTTTTGGTTACAATCATAGTACTAGTTTTGGTGACCCATGTCTGTTTT